GGTGCCCACATTACAACCGTGTAGTATAGTTGCAATCTCCCTGGACAGTGTGTTTCAAGTTAGTGTGAAAACAGGATAGTTGCAATCTCCCTGGACAGTGTGTTTCAAGTTAGAAGTGTGAAAACAGGATAGTTGCAATCTCACTGGACAGTGTGTTTCAAGTTAGTGTGAAAACAGGATAGTTGCAATCTCCCTGGACAGTGTGTTTCAAGTTAGTGTGAAAACAGGATAGTTGCAATCTCCCTGGACAGTGTGTTTCAAGTTAGTGTGAAAACAGGATAGTTGCAATCTCCCTGGACAGTGTGTTTCAAGTTAGTAGTGTGAAAACAGGATAGTTGCAATCTCCCTGGACAGTGTGTTTCAAGTAAGTAGTGTGAAAACAGGATAGTTGCAATCTCCCTGGACAGTGTGTTTCAAGTTAGTAGTGTGAAAACAGGATAGTTGCAATCTCCCTGGACAGTGTGTTTCAAGTTAGTAGTGTGAAAACAGGATAGTTGCAATCTCCCTGGACAGTGTGTTTCAAGTTAGTAGTGTGAAAACAGGATAGTTGCAATCTCCCTGGACACGTGTGTTTCAAGTTAGAAGTGTGAAAACAGGATAGTTGCAATCTCCCTGGACAGTGTGTTTCAAGTTAGAAGTGTGAAAACAGGATAGTTGCAATCTCACTGGACACGTGTGTTTCAAGTTAGAAGTGTGAAAACAGGATAGTTGCAATCTCCCTGGACACGTGTGTTTCAAGTTAGAAGTGTGAAAACAGGATAGTTGCAATCTCCCTGGACACGTGTGTTTCAAGTTAGAAGTGTGAAAACAGGATAGTTGCAATCTCCCTGGACACGTGTGTTTCAAGTTAGAAGTGTGAAAACAGGATAGTTGCAATCTCCCTGGACACGTGTGTTTCAAGTTAGAAGTGTAATAGTTGCAATCTCCCTGGACACGTGTGTTTCAAGTTAGAAGTGTGAAAACAGGATAGTTGCAATCTCCCTGGACACGTGTGTTTCAAGTTAGAAGTGTGAAAACAGGATAGTTGCAATCTCCCTGGACACGTGTGTTTCAAGTTAGAAGTGTGAAAACAGGATAGTTGCAATCTCCCTGGACACGTGTGTTTCAAGTTAGTAGTGTGAAAACAGGATGTACTAATAGTCACGCCCTTCGATCTTGTGTTAGGAAGCTTACTTTGCACATTAGTTGTAGATCAGGTACCAGACCCAACAGAGTATCAGTGGGATCTATTTGAGGGTGTCTAGGTGATGTCACACACTTTATAATGCTACTAGGGGTAGTTACTAGTTAGGGGTGATTTGTAGATGTGAGACTGGAAGCCGGAAGGAGACATGAATATGACTTGCTAAGCAGGGTATTTGGGTCTTCCATTTAATGTAAGAATATTGTACCAGTCACCCGACTAAATGTAAGATTAATCTAGCAGTCCCCTCTAACTCCTCTTCCAAATGAGGGATGAGGTAGCCTCCCAAAATATACCAGTGTGACAGTGTAAATCCATTTGCCATCTTTTCTCACACGCCGCTTTCCTGGAGCCACATTTATACGAGGTTTAGAAAACCGGATATTATAGAGTTATAGCATGCCTTAAACTTGAGAATTTGAGCAGTCATTAGAACGTGCAAACAGGTCTGGGATGGAATGTACACAATATGCAGTACTGGGTAATGAATGTAAATTATGTATCGTGTAGAGATGAGTGTATATATTTATATACTTTCAACACTACTAGAAATAATTAAGCTATTGGATAGCTGTGTAGAGTTCCTGTGAAGCTGCGATAAGAACGTGCACTCATTACCCATTTTCAGCAGTAACTTTACATCATTAACAACAGAAGCAGCTACTCAAGGACAGAGTTAACAGAGATAATAGTAAACTAAGTGCGTACCCAGCAACCCCCCTGAGAATTGAGAGAGTAAGACTGGTGACATATAGTACAACACCACCTCTGCCGTCTTCTGACGAAAGTGCTTAAGTAACATTTTGGAAATTTCCCGGGTTTTTTGGTATAACTTTTGTTTTTGGGTCAAGAACTATCTCTGAGGACCATTGGATACATTCGCCGACCCCCCGAAACCCCCTTTTTGGAACCCCCTAAAATGCAAAAATGGTCATTTGTTTTGGTGTGACAACACCACCTGACACGTGACCTAGTTCCCATTAAAACTGCAGCTGGAGAGTGTGCTTACTTTTGTGGGGTTAACCGGCGGCTCACAATGTCAGAATGTCTGGTGTTGTGGACTATTTTTAGAGTGTTTTTTTGTTCCTTCTCAATTATATCCTGTTGTCGGGTTAGTGACGTAATGGTAATTTTAAGTTTTAGTAGATATCTATTTTAAAACACACACATTGCCGATATCTTGATATGGGGATATGATAATAGGTATGAAGATATACCTGAACCTGCAAAGTGAAAATAATGTGTACTATTTTTAGGGATGGTATGTGTAATGGTGTGATATTGTGTGATATTGTGTGATATTGTGTATTTAGTCATAAAAACCGGAGAGGTGAGCTAATGGCATGAAAAGTGTTGATAAACGGTTGAATTTGAAACTTGAAACTTTCGAGGAATTTTAGTAATAATTTTAGTAATAAACTGCATTTTTTGCTGACAGCTCCGGCTTTTGTCCTGCGCCGAAAGTGAATATTTTCTGAGCGATTTCATCAGTCCGCTCAGACACAACGTCACGAATATGATAACATAATACAATATAATAATATGTTTATCACTTGCGATTGTCACTAATATCGGCTCTGATGTAATTTAAGAATGGCCGGTTCTGGCCTACTTATTGTTCACCAAAATGACACAAGCAAACAATTCTCTCAGTTCCAACACCGGTGTCTGGAGTGAAGTTGTTTCTTCACGTACGATATAAAACGTCTCAAAATGCGTTAAATTTAAACCGCCTGATTTGTTACTTTCTTATTCACAAACATTGTTTTCCACTACGTAGTAGACTAGATGCTATAACTCTGAGGGCACCTATTAACCCTGTTCACAACAACTTGTCAACAAGAAGCACTTCAATCAGAGACTCACTAATTATCATCAGACAACAGAAGAACTGTCTGACCAATAAGAAAGCAAGGATTAATCACGTGACCCATTAAGCGGAGGTGAAGTGTTCAATAACAATATCTCTACATACTGGAGAACTGGAGAAGTGTCTAACTATCTGCCAATATCATTGCAATCCAATTTAACTTAAATTAACAGCATTTTCCTGAATCATGGACCTGAAATATTGGTTGCTCTTCTAAATGATGAGAGCTTCAATTTATAAACCAAGCTGTCATGAGCATTTGAATACTGTTATTTATAAATACTGAAATGTGAAAGTTAAAAAATAATTTCTTAATATTCAGTATTCAACTCATGGCAAATGTTCATTTATTCATTCACATCTGATTCACACGCTTCAAAGCGGCTAATAACATGACATATCTCATGAAATGATGGCCCAATGTGACTACTGACTACATATTACCACAGCAAAGTGTAATGGAGTGTATCACATAATATTATCATAACACATTACCCACAAGTGTTATACTGAAGATGATGACAATGACCACTCCGTGACGAAATCATGTAACTCAATCTACTGTTACAGCTATATATCTACTCACAAATCACATCACATTCAACACTGGGTCACTAGTAGCTATATGTGGTGAATGTGGGGCTATGTTTAGGCCCTTTTGGTCCTGATGACGACATTCATTACATTAGGAGAATTCCAGGTAGATCATGGGTTACTATGGGTTACTATGGGTTACTATGGGTTACTATGGGTTACTATGGGTTACTATGGGTTACTATGGGTTACTATGGGTTACTATGAAATACATGTGAAACGATACTGATTGGTGGAGGACGTTAAACCTCTCTCTTTATTTCTTGGTTACAAAATTATTCTACACATTGATTTCAAGCGTACAAGCAAGTCCCTAATTCAGTGGATTTAAAATTTAACACAAACTTGGCTCTACTTTGAAACGCTGGTAATTTTAAACGATTCGAAATAATTTGAGACGAGCGTGTTGAATTTGAGATTACATGTCACATCCTCCCCTGTTAAAACATCAAACTTGGTATGCATTTAAATATCAAAACATTCAAATAAATGCGAAGAATTCGTACAGCGTACAGTTTGAATATTTGAGTTTTATACAGGCCCGAATATATATAATATATATATATATTATATATATATATCTGCAGCTGCATAAGATATACTCACAAACACATGTTGTGTATATCAAGTGCGTGTTCGACAACATCGCTTAATTTGGGGTAATTTTAAACGGTCAGGAAGTGCCATTAAAGTACATAACACATGCACATAGCTCATAGCTGGGACTCTAGGAAACTTGCTGTGAAACACAATGGTTCTTCTCTCTCAGCTCTCTTTTGACAGGTTTTATTGTACGCGGTGCAAAAACGCCCTTGACCCATCTCACAATGATTTAACTTCTGGGTAGCAATGTTAACCATAAATCCCCTTATCTAGGTATAAACCCGACACTTACGCAACATAGATTCCATTTTAATGGAAAATGGAACGAATTTTGATATTTGACAACTGCAAATAATTTTCGATCATTATAAAACTGGGTCCAGACTTTGGTTATTTGGAAATTGGTTAAAGAACTGTTATCTGATTAGTTACGGAGACTACTATATATCTAATCTGATTGGTTAACGGGGTTAATATACCTGATATCTGCTATTTGAATGGTTAACAGAACATTACCTTGATCTGATTGGTTAATATACCTGATATCTGCTATTTGAATGGTTAACAGAACATTACCTTGATCTGATTGGTTAATATACCTAATATCTGTTATGGTTAACAGAACATTACCTTGATCTGATTGGTTAATATACCTGATATCTACTATTTGAATGGTTAACAGAACATTACCTTGATCTGATTGGTTAATATACCTGATACCTGCTATTTGAATGGTTAACAGAACATTACCTTGATCTTCTTCTCCTCCAGCTCCTCGTCATCTTGTTTCTTTCCCTTCTCTTTCGATCTGAACTTGAGGAGGCAGATGTAACGAATAACAGGTCCTATATGCAGCATATGTAGCACCACACTTACTCCCTGAAATAATTCCTTGTGTTTAAAGCGGAACCTCCTCGTATTCAAACTGCAGTTACACTTCTAAGACCACCTAATGCAAATATGGCACAAAATTTGCTATATTTATCCTTGGTGTGGTAACCTCCCAAGAAGCGGTAACTGGTAACTGCATTCCAATTAAATACACAGGATGTATTATTTCAATTGTAACATTTAACACACGATACTAATTATTTTCTACATACAGAGCTGCTTGTATAATCAACACATTTTGGAAATCTTGCTGGGAATTATTGTTTGCAGTTCAATAAATGCAGTAATACACAGACTACAATCCGTTATATATTTGTCAACGTTAAGAAATATGCTTTTCTTATTTTCGCCGTTTACGACTAAATTACCTGGGAGCAAATTTTCTGGCAGGCATTGACTTTAGGCTCGGACTTGAGATCAACTAAGTTCTTCTCGGTCCAGAGACGATCAGGGTAGCCAGAGTGTGGACAAACAGCCTGGTGGTGTATCTCAAGATACTCAGACTTCTTTGTTACTGGGTCAGACACGTCTTCATCTGAACAATATTAGTAGAATTAAATTAACGGAACATGCACTGCCAATGAACAAGATTAGAGCATTTTAAACTCCTATAATCTCCATTGTTCTGAACTAGTCAATACTGGCACGGATTAAATGAATTAAGCGACAAAGTTAAAATTCTTCGAATTTGTTTTCAATTTTGACGAAATTAAATTAAAATATTACCAGATTTGGAGTTGATGTGTTGCAGGTAAATGGAGCAAGCTTTATCAGCGATATTGTTGTAGGTGAAAAATATGTGGGAAAATGTTTGAGTAAAAAGGGAGAATATAACTAGCAGGGATATTGAGGTGGCAAACCATTCCATCTGTCCCTCATTGTACATACAGTAACTGAAAATAAAGGGTACAGTGACTGGGAATAAAGAGTATACTGACTGAAAATAAAAGGTGTCATCATTACGTATGCCAAATAAACTTATGTGCCATGTTTCAAAATCTAATAATGGGATCAACTTACAGAATCTTAAAGTTAGACTTAATAAAACTTTAAAATATCACTCACCTAACATAACAGTTGGAAATAACATTCAGGATATAAAGAATTGAGCTAGCGGTGAAAATAACATAATCTGAGCAATCTACTACAAAACCAGTCTTCTTGTTATTCGACTTTTTAACTTCATTCATGCCTGGAGTGAGTTATGTTTTAACAGCAAAGATACTTAATTGGCAATTTTTATATGTAATTTAAAGATAACTATTAAGGAATGCTGTGCGTTGGCTGATTGCCCCAATTTGGATGTGGATATGTTATCATGAATTTTTACAAAGCTTAAATTCCACCATAGCATTACCAAACAAACTCCTACTTCTCTGTTATATGAACTTTAGGCTAATGGGCATTTTAAGGGGTTGAGTATGCTTATGTAGCAACAGTTATAGGCAATCATAATTTTTTGCATAAAACAATTTGGGTTAGAGGGCAGCCATTTTTCAGGATGAACGCTATCTGTTTCAAGTATAATATTGAGTTCAAACTAGCTAGCAACTGTCCCTTAAGCTATGGGATAGTAGAGAATGCCGTTTAGAAAAGTATTCTCCATAGAAAATACCATTTGGAGTAAATTTGGTGAAACTGCGATACAAAACAGTTTACTACAAAAAAGGTCATTTTTCTGCTACAGGTTTGACAACAAATTATTTGACACATTAGTATAATATAAAATAATTCAGAATATGCTTCAGTATACAAATGGGGCCTTATAAGTCTCGTTCTATACTAATGCGTGTTTCAAATTTTGACAGCCTTGTAATGATTCTTATTTTACTATTTTACTATATGTTTTGATATTAGCTGATGTTATAAACTGTTTCAGAATGTTATTTCTTTTACCTTAGTGACTTTAAGTCACCGTAAATAAAATCGTTTCACTTACTTCAGTTAAAGTCACTGAGGTAATAATACAACGGATAAGCTACTTCGGCCGGACATTCAACTCGGACCCAAATTCACCCAATGAAACTCTTAGGCTGATAAAGTGACTGTATTAAAGCTAAGCCAACAATAAGGTCACATCAACTTCTATTTTGTATAAAAATATGAGCCAAAATAGACTTTACTTATGGCCTCCATCTTTTTAGTAAGAGGCCAGAAACAGAAAACCAGAACAGAGAGAGAGAGAGTTATGGCCGTGCTAAGTTTTAGCAAGAGCGTGGGAGATAGCACTAAATGTTTTCATGCATCAATGTGTGCATCAAATTTTGTGAAAACGCCTGTAGAGTGGCAAAAAACTTCAGGAAAAGGATATCAATCGGGTACTACTCGGAAAGGAAGCATTAAGATGAACATGACACGAATATTTACATATTGATTTGATATAAGTATTAAAGGTTATAAGCAAAAATAATACAATTTTTCAGTTTTAGCAATTTTACTGTGACAATTTTCACCCTTTTTAAAAAAACATCTAATTAGGCCTATTTTAGCAGTTTTGACCATGACAATTCACTTTTAATCGCCTAAGGCTACTTTAAGTTGACGCGGTAAAAGTACGTCTAAAAAGATAGGATTTATGATACTAATATATTGAGTAGATATGATCCCTCTAAAAACCTCTACTACCACACAATTTGTTGTGACGGAATATATACTGCCCGGAGTTAGAATACGATTTTACAAAACCCTAATCTTCAAGCTTGAATTCAGAGTTGAATACTTTAATACATTTATGTTTGGAGGTTTTTAACGGAGATAAGACACGGCTATGGTGTTATCAAAAAATAAAGAGAAAGGGGGACCCCCCATGTAGCTGAGATCAGACACCTCACAGCAAGTGCCAAGTAGACCAAAGTGCCTCTTGCTTGTGATCAGTGCATCAACTACCCGCCGAAGCGGTGCGTTGGGACTCCCCTCTGGATCATTATGATGTTATCTGATGGTAGTTTAACTTAAGAAATAGTAGCAATGAAACTAACAAGCTTGTGGTTATATCCAAAGGTGACACTTATAAAAAGTTTTGGTAGCCTAGTGGTCGCCTTACTTGAAGGGAGTCTTAAACATAAATCGGAAGCTAACAAGTTTGAGCCCTGCTTGTGCCATTAATTCATAAATGGGCTAAACAAACATCTTCTTAGCATCTGCAAACATAGCACCATTGCATGTCCTATAGTATACTATGTTATGTGTGATCATGAATTGTATAGACTGTATCAAATTTTTACGACGGTGCCCACTTGTATCGCGTCGCGACCCCCACGATCGTTTCACCCCTTTATCGTACTTACGGTACAGGGGAGCAGCGCGACTCGTGCGCGGCGGGTCATACAACGCATGACAAAATAAACATAGTTAAATTAGAACATCCAATAATAAACTCATGAAAATAAGATATACTATGTTAAATACTTTTTTACTATATATTAACAGTTGGAGGACTTCGACGCTTCGACGCGCCGCGCGAACTAGTATTGTTGCTTTGCATGGTCGATCGTTGCTCTGCTCCGCAGATCAGCAACGATCTCGATGGGTTGACATCGTCAATCAATATTAAAGGGTGATACTCGTAATATTCAACTCGGCGCGCGTCTTGGAAGGTTATAAACTTATAAATTATATCATATATACTACTCGAAAATGTATCTCAATCATAAATTTTTATCGCAGCGCGGTGCTAATCACTTATTATAATGACGGCCCCGAGCCTAAACTAATGAATTCAAAAATAAAATGAAAATTCTAAAGCAGAATTGAAGTGAAAGTTATTTTAAAAATATTTCATTAACTGTCTTGTATTCTTAATGTTTAAATTTCATAAATCGCACGTCGATAGTCCATAATACATTGCTTCACGTTGGAGCCCTGCCGCGCACGACTTTGTCCATTGTTAATGAACTAGCCCGGCGCGCACTATTTTGTAGCACTTGCTTCGGGCAACATTTCGAAAAGAAAGCGGCGAGCGCTACTTCAAAGAAATTTAGACGAGTAACATACGCGTCAACGCACGAATGCGCGGCTTCGTCATTCACGGCTTTCGCCACATGCAAAAACCACTTTTTCTTGAAACTGTTCATTTCTTGGCTGTTGACTTCGTGCAAGGACAAGGGATTACGACGTGATACAAATAATTTCACGTTGGCATAAAAAATTAGTTGCGCATGTAATGTTGAGACAGTACTTGGACTACAAATGATTAGTAAAATAGGAACCAGTTGCCTGTAAGAGCTTCACTAGTACCCGAAATACCGCTTTTAAAGCACCACTTCACATAACCATGTGCTTTCGCGCCACTGCGGGCGCGCTTGTTCCACAAGTAAAGAAAAGGTTTGTTTTATACGACACATCATCAATTTCATCATAATTTTCTCACAAATTTATTGTTTAGTTACATGATTAATACAACTGTTACATGTCTAATAATATAAATACAGGAAAATACACCACTCACTCACCCATCATCCCTCACTAACGACTCAATCACATCCACAAATAATGATGAGGTATTTTCACTGCCATATTGCTAATTATATATGTATATTATCTTAGTTGCTTACCCTTTAAATACCGTCAGATGTTTTGTGCTTGCTTCCTCCTGTTTTTTGTTGCTTTGTGTTCAAAAGACTGCCAAAACAGTGATGTTTTATCTCAGGATATATCCACGTCTAAAAGAAAACTGTCGGCTTTAGTTTCACCTGCCATAACAGCCTCAGATGCCAATATGGTCCTCACCAGCCAATACTTGAGCTTGTGCGTGGGTTACACAGTGGATGTGGAACGTTATCAATTTTGAAGGTAGGGACAAACCAGGGGGTTTATGTCTCATGGCTGATAAAGTGTAGCGGTTGCGATTACCAACACAGGCTTAACCGGAGCAGTAGCAACAGAGAAGGTAAGAGAATGAATCTGGCTACTGTTTTTGGTGTGATTTCATCCGGGTTCGACAAAACCAACACGAACAACTTCTTGGAATCCATTGGTCTGACCCACCTTCCAGACAGCTTTTATGATGTCTACCTTAAAGAGATATCAGATGCTGTGAATGAAGTTGTCCGTGAAGAACTGAAAGCTAATAGAGAGGAGGTACTACAGCTACACCCTGATGGAAAGATCACTGTTAAGTTTGATGGTAAGAATATACACAGTTCTTTGTTACTTCTACATAGGTTAATAAATGACACAATACGTAAAACTAAACACTGGCTTTCTTTTTATTGTCATAAATTTTAATATGTTATTATCTTAAGGAACATACGAAACAAGAGGGTACCAGAGCCAGCTCGGCGTCATGTGGATAACCCACGCGGATTCTGACAGAGTGCTTGACTTTGAGATCAAGTGTCAGAAATGTTATGTGTGTGAGCAAAACAGGAAGTCTGAGGTCATTCACAAACATGACTGCACAAAAAACTATGAAGGTAGGGAGTAATCATCATTAATTAACCAATTAAGCACATAGTTATAAACTTGGTCTTCTATAATTTTGATTACAAGGCAAATACTGAGATATATTTCAAAATTAAACAAACTGCTTTTAGGTTCAAGCACAGAAATGGAGTGCACTGCTGCTTTGGACTTGTTTCGCAGATCAGAACAGTTTGGACTTGTTTACTCTTGCATGGTGTATGGTGCTGGCCTGGGTATCTCATGGAAGGACAAGGTCAGCAATATAACTTTGTATGGTAGCCTACCAAGGCTGTCAAACAAGTTATTAAGCAGGAGATTAAAAATGGCGGGACACTGCATCCGACATCCTGAGGCATATATTGATATTTTCGATGTTTATGGAGTGTGTGAGGAGTGCAAAGCAGTGAAACAGAAATACACAAACGCCAGGGACGCTAGTTTCACTAAATGGGTGAAGACGGAGAAATCCGCCCAGTTTGTCGCTAAGCATTAAGGACATAAGTTCGTTGTGTCGTGTTGTTTATAAAAGAGACTGCGTCAATCATGTCACAAAAAACTTTAGGAAGAAAAGAGGTATTTTCGAAATCTGGGATCAAAATTGACAGGTTGTAGAGTCTAACCGGTCTAAACATGGAATTGGACCACAGCTGAACAGCTATAGCCAAACTATCAGAGCGGTTCAGATCAGTCATCATGACGAACAGAATTAAAGGAAAGTCTCAAGAGTCTGAGGTCAGGGCGGCTCAATCGAAGATGAAGTCAGGAATAATGGCCATCCTTTACCATTCGAGCATGATAGAGAATGATAAAGTGCGATACCAGTGGTGTCCATCAGGAGAGCAGAGCTGGTGTCCATACCGAAGAGGGGTTCAGAACTGGGACGGGGCCAAATCACACCATCTCTTACCACTCTTGCTACCCCACCTGGTGAAGATATTTGACGCCAGGTCAACAGACAGTTATCTGTGAAGGGTTGTGACCGGCTACAATCAAAACGCTCTGGAATCGTTGAACCAGCTGATTTGGAAAAATGCTCCCAAATCAATGTTTCACGGTTCCTGGAGAGTTACAATTGCAGTTGGTCTAGCCTTCCTGCAGTTTGAGAGAGCTGGAATCGGCAGGGTTTTAGTCCAACAGAAGCTACACATACCTCTGATGGAATACCAGCTTGCCAAAGTGCATGTCAAGGACCGTCAGAGGGTATTCCATGCAGAGAGAACCCTCAAGAAAGTCAAAACAGTATTTGAAGTGGCCAAGGAAGAGGCAAAAGCAAAGGAGGTTCTTCCAACAAGCCCTGGCTATGATTCTGGAGCATGTGGCACACCAGCTCTTGTTGGTCCGCTAATTGAGGTTGTTCCTGACCCCAGAGACTTACGTTGGGGGCTATGTTGCTGTTACTTACCCTGCAGGTGTTGGTTATGCAGGTTATTCTCTTTATGACCACCATATGAGGAAACAAGAGATAAGTCCCAGGTCCTGATGAGACTCTCTTGGCCACACCCAAAGGGATATACCTTGCAGGAACTTAGCCACCTCGTCTTTAATAAAACTGAGTAAGAGGTGGCTAAGGGAAAGTGGGCATCTGTAAGATCCAACAAAAGTATTTGACATGTTTATCTTTATGTTTATCTTTATGTTTATCTTTATGTCTATCTTTATGTTTATCTTTATGTTTATCTTTATGCTTGATGTTTATCATTCTAATTTATTTTTTGTACTCTTATTGCTTAGTAGTTAACAAAGTTATCTTTCTAATCTGTAGCTGTTTGTTTTCCTAATTTACAACTTCAACCATGCTTTTGCATGAATACCTAAAATTCAAAGTTTTTTGAAAAAAATCGATTTTTGATAATTTTTTGAACAAATTTTGAGCATTTTTGCAGTTTGATTATACCAAAAAAATAAAATTTGTGAGTCAAATTGAGCAACAAAAACTGTCTTTCTTGGTTTAGAAACGTTTCAGGCATACTTTCACATAAAAATGTATGAATTCAAAATAATATGTTGAAAAAAAATCGAATTTTTACTTTTTTTTGGCCAAATTTACCCGAGAGGCAACATGAACATAAACCCAAAATCGATTTTTGGAACATTGGGACCCCCCTGCCCCCTTAACTTGACAACACGCCTTTACTTAGGAATAATATGTTGAAGCTCTTTGCTGTCGTATCACTGCTCCTTGTTTTGGGGATGGGTGACAGTAGGAAAAAGAAAGGAGTAATTGCGCTTCTTGATACAATCGACGAATATTGTGAAGGCGAAGACTCATGTAATGATGACGTTATGGATGATCTTATTTGGTACTTGTCTGGCGAACCATATGATGCTGAGCTAGATGCCGGAACTGAAAAAGCAACCTTACTGCTTGAAAGCATAGATGACAAGTGTGACAATGATGCCTCTTGTATGGACCCCCTTCTTAACATATTGACAGAGAGAGTCTTGGATGACCCCATGATGAACTGAATGTTGTGACATTTTAGCTGCTATTGAATAATGACTTTGATATTTTATAAATGTCATTTCAAGTAATCAAATTAGATAAATCAAGTTTGTTGAAGAATTTATCATCATATCAGTGCTACAATGCTAATATTTGTGAAATAATTACACATTTTCAATCATTCCTAAGAATTTTGATTCTGCCTGCTGCACTGTGTAAAAAAACAAAATATGTTTCTTTTTTGAATTCTGGATTTTTCAATTTAAATCAATACCTTAATAAATCAAAAGATTTTTTCAACATCTGACTCAGGAAAATATTAACAGGATTATGGCAAAGCTTGTTCATGTTGGTCTTATGTTAATCATACTTGTTGGGATAGGAAGCAGTTTCAGAAAAAGGCGAAGCGTAGTAGGTCTCTTCGATTTAGTTGATGACTATTGTGATAGCAAAGAGGCATGCACGCAGGAGGCCTTAGATGACCTTATCTTCTACTTGTCTGGTGAACCATTTGACGAAGAGCTGGACGCTGGAACTTCAAGGGAAACTGTACTGCTAGAAAGCATAGACGACAAATGTGTCGGCGAAAGCGCATGTTTAGAACAGCTATATGAGACATTGCAAGACAGAGTCTTAGATATCGATTATGTTGAGGAATAAACGGTTCACTTTGTTAGTATTCAAAAGGAAAGAATTATATTAATTCTATTGCATACCCTTTTTTCTATTATATAACTTTATGAGAACATTATCATTTGAAATGAATTTGTTCACGACAGCCGATTGTTCTGTTTATTTTTTCGGATCTCATGATTGCTATAATATTAATATTACAATTTGTATCATTGCTGCTAAAACATAAATTCTCTTTTGTTTCTGAATGTACGTATTTCCTGTCATGCGATTATAATGCTCATGAAAAATTAACTGGCACTTTTATTTCACAAAATTGACTAGTTTACCGATTTTACAAGTTGAGCCATTCTGCTTATAATTTAAGATTTCGCTTGTTATTTAAACCAATGTTGAATAATAGACAGTGTCATTTTCAGTAGCATGAAACTCACAATTCTTCTACTTTTGATGGGATTATGTATAGGGGAGGAAGAGAGGCAAACTATAACCACCCTCCTAGACATAACAGGTGATTACTGTGACAACGAGATAACTTGTGTTGGAGATGTTATAGACGATCTTATCTACTACTTGACTGGAGAGGGGTATGATGAGGACCTCGATTATGGAACATCAAAAGAAACGATCCTTATGGAGAGTATTGACAATGAATGTGAGGGCGATGAGTCATGTCTTGAGGGACTTTTTGACGACTTACGACAGAGAGTCGTTGATGATCCTCTCGGAATGTATGATGATGAAGATTTGTTGGAGTTAAATGAATGAATAACAAAATGATATTATATGTATTACAGTTATGCTTGGTCAATCGCTCTTTTTTATTAATGTATATTTGTGTGATGCTGTTTCTTGCGTCAAAGATTGAAGTTGCAATTTGATGAATGAGTTAAGTTGTGTTAGCTATAGTATAGCCTATAATATGATACATAATTAATAATGCAAATTGCAATGGATATGATTCATGAATGGGACATTTATTTGAGTATTGCGTAGTGTCTTATTATGTTTGCTACATATAAACATTCAACAAGTTTTATCTTAAAGTTAATATGTGAAAACCTTTATCTGAAATTGATTTTATTTATGGTAATTACCACGCTTTAATTAATACTGACAAGTTTTCGAAATCATTTATTTTAGCATGGGTAATGTAATAACTAATCCTGGCTCGGAAGATGAAGACATTAAAAAATACCTTCATAAAATGAAGGAGGAGTTTGCGGGTAAATGGGACCTCGAGTCTAAGAACGCCGAACTTGTAAAATATTTTGATGTAACTGAGTACGACTTGTTGAAGTAAGTTTAATTCAACTTTAAATATGTTCTCAATCGAGTGATTGACTCACGTGACTAATATTTTGAGGTTATCTTCAATATAATTAACACGTGCTTGATAAATAATAATGCTAGTTTTAATACTTCTGATCTAAAACTCACAGGACAGTTGGTACTGGCTCGTTTGGTCGTGTGATGGTGTGTAATGAGAAGAACGCTGAAAAGTATCTGGCGGTAAAGTGTCTTAGTAAGGATTGTATCATGGAAAAAGAGCAGGTATTGTGATGACAACATTTAAAGAAATATGTAATATAGCAGTTGGATAACTTTCAACACCCCACTTCAGAAAGTACTCAGATCAATCTAAAATGCAATTTACCAAAAATAATGCTGTCACTGTGTGTCTGGTTTAGTTTATCACATGACCGATTAAATGTACTGGACCAAATTTAACGGTAGTTGCTTACTAGAGTCATTGTTAACAATATACCCTAGCTATTTGTAACAACATCTCACCGTTAAACTAGAGACATTGTTAACAATATACCCTAGCTTGTAACAAAATCTCACCGTTAAACTAGAGTCATTGTTAACAATATACCCTAGCTTGTAACAACATCTCACCGTTAACTGTATTTCAGCTGGAGCACACTTACTCAGAATACAAGATAATGGGAACTATTCCACCTATGGAATTCCTGGTAAATCTGTTGAGTTTTGGACAGGATAACGCCTACCTGTACATGGTATTTGAATTCGTTCCCGGTGGTGAACTCTTTTCACTCCTTAGAAGTGTTGGAAGAATACCTGAAATAACTGCAACTTTCTATGGCGCACAGGTAACTTTCAAAATTCTTAATTGTACATTATTCATACTCGAGTCGCTTTCTGATTAAAAACTCTTTTGGAATTAAAAAAGATAAATCAGTTGCAAATTCGGTTGTGCTTCAAATATATTAAATGTGTTTAAACATTGAATGCTCATCGGCTTTATTAACTAATTAAGCAGTCACAACAAAACAGTGTTCAGGTTCTAGCGGCTCTGCAATACCTGCACAACATGGACATCTTGTACCGAGATCTAAAGCCGGAGAACATCTTGTTCACAGCCAATGGCTACCTCAAACTCACTGACTTTGGTTTCGCTAAACGGTGCTTGGGAAGGACATTTACTCTGTGTGGCACTCCTGAGTATCTCGCTCCTGAAATTATTCTCTGTCAAGGGTACGAATTAATTTTCTGATTGTGCAATTTGATCAGGTGATTTTTGAGGAAGTTTGATAATATGGTTTGTCTCATCTTTTTCGTCTTTGCGAATTTGAATTTTTCAGCTATCACAAAGCAGTCGACTGGTGGGCTTTTGGAGTTTTGTTGTTTGAAATGGTCTGTGGACATCCCCCATTCTACTCAGAGAATCCTATGGAAATCTATAAACAGGTAATAAACACTTCAAAGAAATGCAACTAACACGTCTACATAACGTGTTCATTACAACTGACCAACATCTCACCTTCACCCTAGCTGATGGCCTGCACAAACCCTGCAGGAATGGCTCAGAATGGGACACCAGCTGCACATGGGACAAAAGGGAATTTACATGAACCACTCCCGTTTCAATTCAGACAGTCAACATGGGATGCGGGCTGATGTCATAAAGAATATAACTCGCCAGCTCTCCAGTTTAGGTAGTTGTGGAAGTACTAATTCCAGAGGGAGTAGCAACAGTTTGATTACTGATAACCCCTGCTCTGTACCTGCCTGCGTATCACGGGCTCTAATCACTTCTGACAGCAAGGTTTGTGAGCTTCTTTAAAGTACAAGGTTTGTGCTTCTTTAAAGTAAAATTTGACATGTGGACTCGTCAAGCTGAAATAATTAGAATTTGTACCTTTTGCTGAGATTATCAAAGATATTATACTAACCAACGCCTCAATTATTATGAGTCACCCTGCTGTACGATTTTGCAGTGAGATCTTAGCTGTTAAGCAACTGTTATAATTTATAGCTTTTTTCAGCGTTCCGTTGTAGAAGAAACCTTGATAACTTTCCCGAAAGACGTCTCCGACGATTTCAGACATTTCATCTTTGCGATACTTCAAAGCGATCCAACCAAACGATTGGGCAACTTGAAAGAGGGGGCGTTTGGTATCAAAAGCCACCCGTTTTTCAAACGAGTAACGTGGCAGAATCTACTTAAACAGAAAATCAAAGCGCCATACATTCCTAAACTAGAGTTTACTGGAGATACTAGAAATTTCCCGAGTTATAAAAGCATTGCTCCTTTGAAAACTGCAGATGCGGACAAATATTTTAAGGAATTTGATACGTTTCCAAGATGATTGCTGAATGAAAAATGATCCATATATTGTTATATATTTAAATGTTATATAATGTTATATCACTGGAAAATCATTTTAAGGCCTCCCGTGGCCATGAAGGGGATTTCATAGGATTTATTCTGTCAATTTATGCGAGCAAATTCCTTCTTTAAATGATATGTGATTTGTATAACCTATAGTAAGCGTGAAAGTTTGCGTTTTCATTGTGCTAGACGGCCTGCAGCCAACTGTGATCGTCAACATCACAACGTCATGTTCATTCTTTCAAGATTTTCGTTAAAATATCTCCTCGACTTTCATACCTCATGCAAAAGCTTGTTTACTTCACAGGCTTGCCTCACTACGATGTTTCTTTTAATACTCTGAAATAGAGATAGTTTAAAAACACACAAGATCAGTAGAAAGTTTTTTGAAATAATTCCTATTATATGATCTTGGAGTTACTTTCTTGTAACCATCAGGCGTTAGAGGCAAAGGTACGGTTCTCGTGCAAGCTTACGAAGGATTGTAAAGAACTGATACGAATGCTGCTGATGACTGATCCAACTAAACGAGTTGGAAACTTGAGAAAAGGTGTCAAGGAAATCGTGGAACATAACTTTTTCAAGTAAGAATCCTTAAAAAATGCGATGAGCGGCAAAATAACAAATTACCAAACAGCGCTCATTGAGCGCTGTTTGGTAATTTGTTATTTTACTTTAGATTGCTATGTTTCAAAAGCCGACTTGATGATAATGAACTAGTGTGTTGGAACACGTGATAATTTATGAGGCTGCTATTTCCTCGTCTAACTTAACTTTTGAACAACATGATATTGAGCATCATTAATAATTTAAGTCCCAACCAATGTTGAACTTTCCCAGGAGATTAAATCTAGCCGACATATTTGATCAGAAAATCCGAGCCCCCTTCGTTCCGGAGTTGGAGGGCCCAGGAGATACTGCAAACTTTGATGACTACGATGAGGCTCCTTTGTTAACAAAAGAAGATGATGAATTTATCGAAAAGTTTACTGATTTTCCTTGGGTATGTTAACAGCAACAGAACAAAGGTGGCTGTTGTGAAAAGGTCTGACAACAAGATTCAAAATTAGAAGGTCGGCCGTAAAACTTGACATATTGTTAGAAGTGGAGATTGACAGAGATGAAATACCAAGAATTGCAATTGGTTATAGCTGGCTGCTCTCCTATATCAGTGTATGTTGCAGTAAATCCCTATTTTGCTGAAAACCGGCTGTGTCACGAGGCTCTATAACAGTTTTCTCTGTTATCGCGCTCACAATGCAATTGTGATACGAAATCACAATTCGACTCTGCTGATATCTGTTTTTCTGTTAACATCACAAAAGTTTTATGACGATGTTTTCATTAGGTTATTAGAGTTCAAACTGTGATTATTATTTTAAAATCTACTGAAATGTATGAAGTTGAACTCTGTTTTATAAATTACTGATTGGGATGAAACAGCATGCTTTTTCTATATTTTTGCTTTTTGTAAACTAACATCATAACACATCTATTTTTGGATAATTCAATTTTGAGGCTAAAAGTTCCTCTTTAATTTTCTTTTGCAAGTTCTTAATCTTCGATATTAACTTAACTGCACCGATGGTATATTTTCAAAATCCAATAGATACATAAAATTGATAGATGTGACTAAATTATCGCGAAGGTCATCGAATTTGGGGCATAGCAGTTTACAGAGGAACTCATTTGACGAAAGTCGATTATCTCAAAATCCAAATATAAATCAAGAGGCTTGCATATAATGAACATATTGACACGGGTGCAGAGTCGAGTCTGTACGGAACCTAGTAGTTTCAGATCCTTGTTTAACTTGCCGTACAGCAAGGTCATCCACTACTTTAGCCCGGCGAGGCACATAACTCCCTCTACAACTCCATGACAAATGTTTCATATATACTAGCCGAGTTCACAAGAATATATCCTTGTGTTTGAGAAGAGCTCGTTAGAACTGCTTCCTTTCCCTTCAGTATCCCACAGTCTCTCGAGTTTCGTAACTGCCAGAGAACTCTCTTAAACAATTACTAGACTCGGTGATTATAAATCAAGAGGCTTGCATATAATGAACATATTGACACGGGTGCAGAGTCGAGTCTGTACGGAACCTAGTAGTTTCAGATCCTTGTTTAACTTGCCGTACAGCAAGGTCATCCACTACTTTAGCCCGGCGAGGCACATAACTCCCTCTACAACTCCATGACAAATGTTTCATATATACTAGCCGAGTTCACAAGAATATATCCTTGTGTTTGAGAAGAGCTCGTTAGAACTGCTTCCTTTCCCTTCAGTATCCCACAGTCTCTCGAGTTTCGTAACTGCCAGAGAACTCTCTTAAACAATTACTAGACTCGGTGATTATAAATCAAGAGGCTTGCATATAATGAACATATTGACACGGGTGCAGAGTCGAGTCTGTACGGAACCTAGTAGTTTCAGATCCTTGTTTAACTTGCCGTACAGCAAGGTCATCCACTACTTTAGCCCGGCGAGGCACATAACTCCCTCTACAACTCCATGACAAATGTTTCATATATACTAGCCGAGTTCACAAGAATATATCCTTGTGTTTGAGAAGAGCTCGTTAGAACTGCTTCCTTTCCCTTCAGTATCCCACAGTCTCTCGAGTTTCGTAACTGCCAGAGAACTCTCTTAAACAATTACTAGACTCGGTGATTATAAATCAAGAGGCTTGCATATAATGAACATATTGACACGGGTGCAGAGTCGAGTCTGTACGGAACCTAGTAGTTTCAGATCCTTGTTTAACTTGCCGTACAGCAAGGTCATCCACTACTTTAGCCCGGCGAGGCACATAACTCCCTCTACAACTCCATGACAAATGTTTCATATATACTAGCCGAGTTCACAAGAATATATCCTTGTGTTTGAGAAGAGCTCGTTAGAACTGCTTCCTTTCCCTTCAGTATCCCACAGTCTCTCGAGTTTCGTAACTGCCAGAGAACTCTCTTAAACAATTACTAGACTCGGTGATTATAAATCAAGAGGCTTGCATATAATGAACATATTGACACGGGTGCAGAGTCGAGTCTGTACGGAACCTAGTAGTTTCAGATCCTTGTTTAACTTGCCGTACAGCAAGGTCATCCACTACTTTAGCCCGGCGAGGCACATAACTCCCTCTACAACTCCATGACAAATGTTTCATATATACTAGCCGAGTTCACAAGAATATATCCTTGTGTTTGAGAAGAGCTCGTTAGAACTGCTTCCTTTCCCTTCAGTATCCCACAGTCTCTCGAGTTTCGTAACTGCCAGAGAACTCTCTTAAACAATTACTAGACTCGGTGATTATAAATCAAGAGGCTTGCATATAATGAACATATTGACACGGGTGCAGAGTCGAGTCTGTACGGAACCTAGTAGTTTCAGATCCTTGTTTAACTTGCCGTACAGCAAGGTCATCCACTACTTTAGCCCGGCGAGGCACATAACTCCCTCTACAACTCCATGACAAATGTTTCATATATACTAGCCGAGTTCACAAGAATATATCCTTGTGTTTGAGAAGAGCTCGTTAGAACTGCTACCTTTCCCTTCAGTATCCCACAGTCTCTCGAGTTTCGTAACTGCCAGAGAACTCTCTTAAACAATTACTAGACTCGGTGATTATAAATCAAGAGGCTTGCATATAATGAACATATTGACACGGGTGCAGAGTCGAGTCTGTACGGAACCTAGTAGTTTCAGATCCTTGTTTAACTTGCCGTACAGCAAGGTCATCCACTACTTTAGCCCGGCGAGGCACATAACTCCCTCTACAACTCCATGACAAATGTTTCATATATACTAGCCGAGTTCACAAGAATATATCCTTGTGTTTGAGAAGAGCTCGTTAGAACTGCTTCCTTTCCCTTCAGTATCCCACAGTCTCTCGAGTTTCGTAACTGCCAGAGAACTCTCTTAAACAATTACTAGACTCGGTGATTATAAATCAAGAGGCTTGCATATAATGAACATATTGACACGGGTGCAGAGTCGAGTCTGTACGGAACCTAGTAGTTTCAGATCCTTGTTTAACTTGCCGTACAGCAAGGTCATCCACTACTTTAGCCCGGCGAGGCACATAACTCCCTCTACAACTCCATGACAAATGTTTCATATATACTAGCCGAGTTCACAAGAATATATCCTTGTGTTTGAGAAGAGCTCGTTAGAACTGCTTCCTTTCCCTTCAGTATCCCACAGTCTCTCGAGTTTCGTAACTGCCAGAGAACTCTCTTAAACAATTACTAGACTCGGTGATTATAAATCAAGAGGCTTGCATATAATGAACATATTGACACGGGTGCAGAGTCGAGTCTGTACGGAACCTAGTAGTTTCAGATCCTTGTTTAACTTGCCGTACAGCAAGGTCATCCACTACTTTAGCCCGGCGAGGCACATAACTCCCTCTACAACTCCATGACAAATGTTTCATATATACTAGCCGAGTTCACAAGAATATATCCTTGTGTTTGAGAAGAGCTCGTTAGAACTGCTTCCTTTCCCTTCAGTATCCCACAGTCTCTCGAGTTTCGTAACTGCCAGAGAACTCTCTTAAACAATTACTAGACTCGGTGATTATAAATCAAGAGGCTTGCATATAATGAACATATTGACACGGGTGCAGAGTCGAGTCTGTACGGAACCTAGTAGTTTCAGATCCTTGTTTAACTTGCCGTACAGCAAGGTCATCCACTACTTTAGCCCGGCGAGGCACATAACTCCCTCTACAACTCCATGACAAATGTTTCATATATACTAGCCGAGTTCACAAGAATATATCCTTGTGTTTGAGAAGAGCTCGTTAGAACTGCTTCCTTTCCCTTCAGTATCCCACAGTCTCTCGAGTTTCGTAACTGCCAGAGAACTCTCTTAAACAATTACTAGACTCGGTGATTATAAACAAATAACTCGAATTTGGGGCATAGCAGTTTACAGAGGAACTCATTTGACGAAAGTCGATTATCTCAAAATCCAAATATCTCCGATATCAGCGAATTCTACAAAACACAGGCATATATCTCGAGATCTGAATATATGTTTTTCTTTAAACTTTTTTATGGTCATAAGACTTGTCATAAGATAATCTGTGCAAGTTTTGGCGAATTTCTATGTGCCAAATTTGAGATACCCATTTGGAGATTTTCTTGTGTTTGAGCTTTGAAGTGAATATCTCAAGTTTGGCACTTACAAATTCACCCAACCGCGCACAGATTATCCGTCTTATAATCATATAACTAACTGGAAAGTTTCAAGTAAATATATTCTAAGTTATTTACTGAAACACTTTTGATTTGGTACAGTTTTGACGAAAGTCCCTATCCTTGTCCTATAATAATATATTGCTTGCGTAAGGCGCGATGCAATAAGTAAGATGTAACTCAAACAAGAATTCGCTCACTTTGACAGAAAGATTTGGCGCGCGGCGAATTAACTGGAAGTTTTGCATCGACAATCGATATTTCTTCCTCGGAATGTACGTTACCCTAATTCAGAGTCCAGGCTCCTATATTGAAGTGCGTTCTTGTTTGCTGCAATTTTTCTCCCTTTGGTGGCCAAGCAATTTATTCTTCTATCCGGTAGATCCTTATACGATAAGTCATAACGATAATTTGCTGAGGTCGGAGAGACCTTTCAAACTTTCATTCTGGTGGTCAAAAATCGATATGAAATTTGTATTCTTCGAGAGGGAATTCTTTGTACTTCAATTTAGTGTATAGAAGAAGTGTGAAAGAGCATAATCTGGATTAATAAGCTTACAATCTTCAGCTACATACAGAGCCCTTAGCCCCAAAGTGGGATTTTGTATTATATCTTCGCTAAGGGCTTTAAATAAAAGTAAAGGGAAGATTGGAAGAAGGCTTTTAGATATTTTATAGCATATGCTTCTCATCCAAAAAGAATCTTTTCCAATTTGACTGGGTGTGCAAGCGATAGTTTCTAACAGTTTTAGTATTCTGCAGAAACTCTAATATGATACAGGGTATTAGTACAGACAAATCCGTCTGAAAAAATCGATCTGCTGACACACGAAGCTTTCAGAGGATTTTTGACGTTTTTGAGTCCTAATAGGTGCCCTCTATGGCTGACCAACTTTTCCAAACTTTTCCACTTGTCTTAAGGCCACTTTTTGCCACTTTACCACTTTTTACCACCTTTCTTGTTTGTCGAATATCTTTAGTTGTGAACATCGTAAAAGGTTGCAGATCAATCGAGTGTGTTCATATTACGATGAAGAAAAACTTTTGTTCTAACAATTTTTACGTCAGATAATCAGTTAATTGAATAATTATCAATTAGCTAATTAGCAAAATTCTAATCATTCTAATCAAAATTCAATCATTTTTACTTTACATTACGCATCAACATTTTTGCTCTCTAATCTTTTCACAAGTGCACTGACTTGCTGATAAGAAACTGCTTGATTTTATCATGTCCGGCCATCTTAACAAGTCGACCTCTGCTGCTAACAAGACTCCTGCTGCTAAGAAGACTCCTGCTAGGAAGAACAGTATCACTAAACTTGCTGCCTCCGGGTCACCCTCCGACACGGAGGCACCCTCCCTCGGTATGTTGGGCTTTGGTGTGCCATCAATTTACACGTTTTGCGCTAAGACGTGTTTAAACGTTTTACCTACCCTCTCCAAAGAAGATA